TATTTCTGCTCATAACTCAGAAAAACTATTTTGGCTTCATCAAATCATAGGCCTTCATCATAGCAGTTAGCCTTCCAGTTTATTTATAGTTCAATGGTTGGACGTCAGTTCCAGTCCCTTTCTATTGTTTTTGTATGCGCGGTTAACACGAAACTGGCTTCACTTTGAGCAACCTAGTTCCTACTCCAGATATATATGGAGCTCACTGGCCCTTATAAATCCGCCATGTTTGAATTTGACTAGGAGTGCAAACTACAAAGTATCTAAACAAAGCTAAAACTACGTTTTCATCGTCAAAACGTTTATCTTGTTGTCTAATTTGTAGTTTGGGGATAGATTTTGAGTTTTTTGAAGGCACAAACTGTCAAAGCAAATGTGCAGTTACAAAAACGGTGAAAATCGTGCAGCCTTGTAAACAAAGTATTTTCGCCGGTTTCTCGAAATTTACTCATAAAACATTTTTGCATGCTTTGAACGTCACTACTGTCACTGTTTTGCTAATATCTTATAAGATTACAAAATGATAATTCTTTCTTCGTCGGGTTTCGTTTTTGTTGCATGCCCATTTATGGGCATGCAACTTTCATATAGCTCTAAATTTCGTGTCCGGTTGGGCGGACGGACGTTGTACCGGCGGTGGTAAATCACGTGACAGATTCGTAAAATACGACAAATACCGAGTTTTTCTGACGAGCATTTTCATGTGATGTGAAACTTTAATATGCACGCTTTTGTTCACGGCTTTCGTCCAGGAAACGCAAAGGAAATATCGATTTTTCCTCGAAAATTTACGTAATTTATAGCCTTAGAAAAATAGATCGAGGTAAGTAGAGCTTTGCTGTTTTTACTTTACCTTATGTTCTGTTATTTATTTTTATTTTGGTGCCGTTGTGCTCGCACTGATTATTTATCAATTATCAGGCGCTTAATATTTATATATATTATATTAATATTAAAACTTTAATATTGTATAAAAAAAGAAAATTAAACCTTTAAATGAACTCTTCATATACACTAGACATAACATTATTGTTCAGACATTATAACATTTTGTAGACCATATATTTCTGTTTTTACGTGCTTTTATATAGCACTCGCTTATTTAGCTTTGGTAATACCTGTAATTGGGTCATGCCAATAAAGTCTTTAATAATAGCCTTACTTTACATACTAATCAGCGTCTGAATGCTTCAAAGAAGCGTAACAGGCTTACTGTCCTATTTCGTGACATTCAGATTATTTCAGCCTGGGCTAACATTTCAGCCTGGGTTGACTATAAATATAGCTCTGACTAAACTCAGCCCAACCTCAAACTGCTCATGTAATCGTGATGCAATTTCAGCTCGTTTAACCGGGCTGGACTCGATATCGGTCTGTAGAAACCCGCCTCCCACTCGAGACACCACATTTTTCGTTGTTCTTTGCAGTGTCGGAATAAAAGCTATTTCCAAAAGCTTTTGCTTTGAAACTATTTGAAGTCCAGTGATTACATATGCGCAATGCGGTAACAGGCAGCATAAATTAAGTGTAAGCGGTTGCATAAATTACTTGTGTTGTTATGGACGCTCCCTATATTTGCGTAATTTTTGCGGTTGGCAGCCGATCAAACGACAGCTTTGTAACAATATTCTAAATAAATTTGAATTTGATCTACCCAAATGCTAACTTAACCTGCTCTATTTTCTAGCGGGAAAAAAGTATTACAATAAAGGAAATATGAAGTGTATCTAATAAATATGTATCTAATAAATATGCATCAACGACAGGTGTTCAAGGTAAACCCCAAAGACATAATCACACCTTGTGATTGGCGAACAGAACTCTGCGAAGCTCTGTGATTGGCTAGCTTTGGCGTATGTTAATTCCATAGTAGGGAAGCATACTTCCGACAAAAACAACAACATTCGAAGCGACGCTTTTGACAAGTCCGTTTAAATGTCAAAGTGAGGAAACTTTGGGGGAAAATTTAACTTAGGAGTTCAATTGTCACGTCAGAAGCTCCGCTTTTCAGCAGAATCTCTGCGGCAGTTATGTCCAGCTCCAAAAGCCATGGAAAAAATTTGGCCGAAGACGATTGGGCATTTGTGGACGTGCAAGGTGCTGTCGTTGTAAGTATATTAATTTAAAATATTTTTATACTTTTTTTATGGGAAACTATTTGGCAATTTTTCAGGTTTACTTCAGAATTAGACGCTCGGTAATTTAAATTGGAGTTATCACAAATAGAGTACAAAATGTACTTGAAGTTTTGGCGGGGATATATTAACTTAGTGTACAGCACATATATAGGCTGAGGTATTTATGAATAAATGCAAGGCATAATGGATTAAAATGAAAATGTCCTATAAAGACTGCATGAATTTTATTAATGTTTGCACTTGAATCAAAAGAAAAGGTTTTTTCGAAAGTGCGTGCATTTCACAAACAGAAGTATGTTCAAATTGCAAGGTTTACTGTTAGATCGCGTTTATCAGTGACATAAACATATCCACCTGTTAAAACCATGACAACAATTTGCATTTTAACCTGTCTAGATTTTAGTTTATATATATATATACTTAGTTGTTTTACCGCATTCTAACCGGATTGACTCTTATTTGTGTGATTCTTTTACACTAGCTTTCAAGTTGTAACTTACAGGCGTTAATTAACCCCCTATTTAACCACGCGCGTGTATCAATAATATACATTTGGCATTTATAAAAAAATAATTGCATATATAAAAGAGATACAGTCAGTTATAAAAGTTTGTTTATATCGAAAACCTGCAAGCATGCATTTATATCTCAAACATTAGTGTTTACAGTTTTGTGGGCGCGGCCATACTACTAAGTTTTGCTCAAGGTAACAATACAATTAATACAATACATGCAATGAACCATTTGCATTATAGACTAAATTTGATCTAGACAAAAAATTCATCACAGCTTGAAAGAGCATCACAACATTAGTATATAATATTCCAAAGTTTCGTTGCGAAATGTTGTAAAATGCGGGTAATATAGCCTTGTGAAATTTGCAATTTTCAGTCATTTTGTATTACAAACGGGAAATTGATGCCCCAACACTCGATTGGGCTGTCAATTTCCCGTGCATAATACAAAATGACTGAAAAACGGCAAACTTCGCAAGGCTATATTATCCGCATTTTACAACATTTTCGCAACGAAACTTTGGAATATTACTAATTTTGTGATGCTCTTTCAAGCTGTGATGAAATTTTTGTCTAGATCAAAATTTAGTCTATAATGCAAATGGTCCATTTATTTAATGTGAAACAATTACACTTAGCTACACTCAGCTAATTTACGGGTAATGCCACGAAATTCTAACTATTATATATCTATATGTCTACATAAATCAACTAAATAACTATTTACACTATTAAATTATGCATTGCACAGTAACATAAGCTCAAGGTAGCATAAGCATGTAAATATTCACAATCATACACCGTTCTCATTTTAAAAGAATACGAAATTTCATGCACTGCTTCTGACAAAGCCTCTCGGATTACGGAGTACACCGTATGTTATTTTAGTAATTTAGTGCTGTGTACTGTGTACTGTGTATCACAGACAGGGATTTCGAACGTCTTGCCTAGTAAGTTATACCATGGTTATTCTATGCTATGCCGTTGCAGTAAACCAGGGGTCGATCCAAAATATCCATGCAAGATGAAGTACTAATGATAAACAGATAAAGTTGGCACTGACAGTCGCAGGCACATCAGAAAAAAAGTTTCTTGCAGGCAGATATTCTAAACATTTTAAAAACAGGAGATTTTATCTTTTTACAATTCTCATGCAATTTACTATTAATTCTTACGCCTGTATTCTAAAAGCTCACTCACACTCGGAGAGTGGAGGTTCAATCTGAGCTTCTCTCGAGTGTCAATGCTGTTTTTGAATAGCTGCAGGATGAGTAGTCACATAGTAAGGTATGAAACTAACCCTCCAGCTATTCAAAAACAGCATCGACACTCGAAATAAGCTGAGATTGAACCTCCACTCATTGAGTGTGAGTGAGATTTTAGACTATACGGGCATTAATCTGCTAATTCCATTCGATTCTAATTTTCATTAATTCCATTCGATTCCAATTTTCATTAATTCTTAATCTGCTAATTTCATTCGATTCTAATTTTCGATTTTAACTCCCCTCGATTCTAATTTCCCACAGAAAGATGTTCTTTTAAGAGGATTTTTTTTTGTGCCGCGTATTTGCGATGAAAAAAAGCTAAACCTATCTCTCAAAATTATTCTGTTTTATATAAGCTTTATTTTCTAGTTTATAAAATTAGCGTTCTTTTTTAATGCATTTGCTGTTCGAGAAACATAAAATAATAGTAAAACCTTTTCAATTAAAAGACAATGATCGATGATGCTTTAAAATTGACGCCATATTTACAACAATATATAATTACTGAATTTCAGTCATCATTTTCTCTTTGGCGTACCATCTATAAAGATAAAGCACTAAATACACTTTTAAGATTGTTTGCGGATTGAAAAACGTATCAAAAATTAAAAAGTTTGAATGTATTCATAACCATGTAAGAGGCCGTACAGGCAGGATTTTTTCACCAGGGGGCCGGTAATATCTATATGCTGAAATAAGTACCCAAATGTCAATGCATTGAAATTGTCATATCAGTTAGATGCATGCTTAATAATATGGCCGCCCCATAATTCCCAGCAAGGAAAGGTTGGTTCGCCGACCTCGGAATGACATTTCGTCAAAACTTTTTTCTTCAAGATTGGTTTAGGAATGATATAACTATATATCAATACGGAAAAAATGTTTTATATTTGTTTTATAATATAGTAATGTCAAAAGCCCGAAGAATAAGAACAATTTCCGTGTTACAAGCGGCGGAAAATTTCCCGTGTTGACATGGAGTTATATCAACACGGCTCTTAGCCAATCAGCGTTCAGAATTTACAAATGCTATATTATAAACAAACTTGGAGTAGGGTTTGGTTAGGGCATTGAACTATAAGTAAACTGGAACGATAAGTTCGGCGCCATCTTTGAAGCCAGCCATGAGTGTTTTACAAAACGGATACGAAAAATACAGCTTAAAAATCGTTAAATTTTCTCACTTTTACTTCTTTCAAGGCATTTATATTTATCCTAGAGCACACTTAGACAACACAACTTCTATCTAAGACACACAAAATAAGTAAATATGAAACGAACAAAACGAAACTCGGCAAGAAACCGCGAGTTTTTAGACTTTCCAGAAAGAGATCAGAGACAATTTTATACAATTTATGTAGAATAATCTTAGATACAGTTGTTAATGGAGTCCAAACATACAGAAACGTACTTTAATAAGTTAAAATTAAGGATTAAATTAGTAAAAATACGTGTTTATTTTCGTATACATATACCTGCGAACAGGCTATACTTGAGCGCCCGAAATTTGGCTTCACTCAAACATAGGCCTTTATCATTGGAGTTATCGTTCCAGTTTACTTATAGTTCAATGGGTTAGGGTTAGATGTTTATTTAAAAACACGGTCACGGATATGAAATATCAAATAGTGTAATATCAACTAAATTAGTTATGATATAACAAGTCGTAGCTAGTCGATCACACCCCTCACATTTTCTGTAATTATTTACAGCCAGAAGAGAAAATAAAACCTTCAGAACGTAAGAACAATACGAAGCGAAAGAAAAAAGGACGTCCTCGGAAACAGGAAGTTGAACCGGACTTCGAAGTCATCCAACATGGCGGACTGACCATGTCGACAATCATAGCAACAACCGAGGTCCTACCACTTCAGAAAGAAACACCGGACGACGAGGAAGACTGGGGCATAGTTAAAGCACCGGAACCAGGACCAGATCCCGCACGGTCGGCCACGCAAACCGTGGACACTAGCGTGGAACCGAAACCTGAAAGTTCAGATGATGTTGAATTTATCCAGATTCCTGATCGTGAAGAGCCGAAAGTGGAGTTACTCTCAAATACATCATCGACATGTAGTTTTGATGTTATTGATGAAAATAAGAGGAGAGCTATACTGGACGGCGAAAAGGATTCTGTCGCTAGTTTAGAGGATGGTGATAGTGATGATGGTGATCAAGAAGGTGGTGACGATGATCATGATAGTGGTGACATTCACGTGACAGAGTTTCATTTTGACTTGCCCACAATGGTTGCTTTATTCTGTTTAACCGCAGTCCTTGGCTTTGTTATTGGACATGGTAAGTCGCAGCACCATAGAACAGTTGATACCTAGTTAGAATCTTCTATGATTTTAAAGAGGTTAATAATATACATAAAGATATTACTCGACTGTGATTGGTTGATTTCAGTGCAGTTAATCCCAAACAGCAGTGCAATTTTCTGTAATCACAGTGCAATTTTTTGTAATCACAGTGCAATTTTCTGTAATAACAGTGCAAAAATCTGTAACAACTGATCTGATTGGTGGAAAAACATTGTGATGCTTAAATCAACCAATCAGTTTAAAGCAATTTAGTTTAAAGAAGTAACGGTCACAGATTGCTTGAAAACAAAACAAACATGGCGCCGCGCTACACAAAGTAAAAGTTGCCTTCGCGTGGAAAATACGGCTTTTATCTTTAAAGGGAAATGGCAATATATTTTTTATTTTCTCATTTGAAAGAACTTTTGAAACTATTTAATAACTTCTTTTACAGATTCTTCATATCTTGCTTAGTCCTTGAAATACTTTCACTTGAAGTAATGAGATGTCAGCCATCTTGGATAATTTTTTAATCTCATTAACGGTAGTTTTGGTGACGTCACAACAGGGATTAACCATATAAAAGTATTCGTTGCTGACCAAATATTGATTGCTAGATGTTTTAAAGGTTTCAAGTGATCTTGATATTTCCAAGGGCATACAGAGTATAATTTTGAGTGCCAAATGATTAGTGGTTGTCTAGATAAAAATATTGCATGACCCCTGTTGTGACGTAACATGCATATCTACAAAAATCCAAGATGGCGGACATTTAATTTCTTTCGATTAAAATATTTGTAGAAGTAAGCAAGATATGTAAAAACGGTAAAAAAGTTTTATATATGGTTTTAAACGTTCTTTCAAACGAGAAAATAAAAAATATATTGCCATTTCCCTTTAATTTTAAATGGAAAAGCATTTGCCTTAAACAAGACTAACAAAAATTACATAGTTGAGTGGAATTTTCAAGCTGTTAGCGTTGTATAATGTGATATAACAAGGCCAGGAAAACTTTGCCAGTGGAGCGTAAGTTAAAACATTTTTATGTAAATTATTAATAGGTAATAGCATGGTTTCTCGTGAAATTTGGATAAACATGCACTCTTGAGGTCTTTGAAAAATTCACTCGTGCATGTTATATCCAAATTGCACTCGAAACCATGCTATTACCTATACTAAACGAGGTCCAAAAAGCAGAACCATCATTGAAGACACTGATTTGAAAACTATGACTGGATAGAGTATCCTGTCAAAATCTCTGCAAATACTTTTAAATTAGTTACATTATCAAATAACTGTCTTTTCTTACGTAACTTGATAGACATAGCTTCTCACATCTCTTCTAATGAGTTTTAGAATGTTTTAAACACGAGATAATGAGACTTGTAGCAGCAATATTGGTGTGACCTCATTAGTTATTCAAGGGCAAAATTATGGGGGGGGAGGCCGCTGTTGGTAAATTTCTATCCAGACAATGTTTATCCTTTCCTACCGATAACCTGAAAATGTAAGACACTCTTCTACCATGTCACCGACACCACAATAGATTTGTGGTGGTCACATGAATATGACCGACATTGGCTTCCTTTATGCACAGCGATAAAAGAAGATAATATAAGGATATTTAAACAATCTTTAAAATCTCATTAATAATTCATGAAGAAAATTCAAAAGAAACGAATGTTTAATCAATGTTTGTAAATTGGATAAAGATTTGTCCTGATTTACATAAACTTTAGCTTTGGTTTTCTCGGCTTAAACAATGGTTATTTTTTAAATAACTTCGCCAATGAACTCATAAGATGGGTCGTTTTTAAAAAACGTTAAAACATTCGTATCCGATCTTTATCTGATATACAAACTCTCGCCTTCGGCTCATGTTTTAACTAGTACATATAATCGTCTCTTTCCAGGTGTTGGAATCGCAACTAGCCTTCTGGTGGTGAAAACCCCCAGTCTCAAAGTTCCCAGTGAAATGACACCAAATGTACCAAGCAAGACTCCATCGAAAGAAAACAGTGAACAAGACGAAAATTCCCAGCTGGAAAGAAAAATTCAGAAATGGAAGTCGCTGTACAGGAATGAGAAACCTGAAGAAAACGCCGGTGGGAAAAATTCCGGAAATTTGCCTGGATTGAAGGAAGCACACAAGCAGTTGTCGCTAGAAAATTACAAGCTTAAGAAAGCGTACAGTGATATTCAAAAACAACTCGACCTTATGAAAGTCATGTCTTGGTATCGACGGGCACAAGTTGATAAGTTGAGACAGAGTGATCAGTTGAACATGAGCCATGTTGTAGGGATGTTGAAGAAAGAGTTGCAGTATTTGGAAGCGGTGTATTTCAGGGAGAAACGACTTGCAGATATGTGGAGGAATGAAGAGAAAGAAAAAGAAGAAAGTTCGCCCAATACATGGAAATATTTTAAAGATCGCTGGAATAAAAAGTATAAAGGAGATGAAAGTGCTGAGGAAGGAGTGTGCGTGGATAGACAGGACTGTGAAGATGAAACTAGGAGAGCTGAGGATATGAGTGGACCTAACAGCAAGGAAACAGTAGATCATAGTGGGACATTAGCGGGAGGTAATGAAGCACTGGAAAATAGACAAACTGGTTTCAAGAATGTAGGACTTGAAGAAAGGAAACAAGGAAAGGAATCTAAAGTTTCAACCAATACAGAATCGAGTGATTATGCAGAATCACAAGACAATGTGAACACGATGAGAAGTTCCAACCCACTCCAAGGAAGGGAAAACGTTGCAAACGAGAAAACTGGAACAAAGGGAGATTTTGAAACAGTGGATGACACCAAACTGGACGAAATACGACGTCAGCACAAGGAGATGGCAGATGAGATGGAGCATAGAAACGTTCGGAATGAGAAAGATAGTTTGTTTTGGCGACATTTACGATTGGCAAAGACTGTTGAAGATTACGATCTGAAGCATTATAGCGACAATGAAGATCAAATCAGATTATCAACGGAGGAAATAGCAAGTGGCGATAATACGGCGAATGATCAGAATGAATTATCAGCAGAAGGCTCGTCGAATGGTAGTGGTGATGGGCAACCAAATGATCAGAACAATAAAGAATCCGACACAATCCCAAATGAGAGCACCCATACAGGGTTTTTGGCACAAGTAGAACCGGACTGGTTTTCTTATGAAGTCTTAGAACAGGATGAAGATGTGATAATCGCGTACGAGAACAAGGATAGCGTTCCGCATGCACTCTATGGCTTTCTTCATGGCGAATTTCGTGAAATAGAATCTGGCCCAGGAGATATTTTTGTTATGTCTGTGAAAACGGAATGCTTTAAGGTGAATAGCAGTTTCATTGTGTCACTGTCAAACAACTTTCCAAAACCCATTCAATTTTTTGCGTTATTACCGAACGGGAAAATAAAACACCAGAAGATAGCCGAGCAAGTTAAAATGGTTATAGCTCAACTGAGTCCCAACGATGGTGAAGAAAGCAGACCTCAGCCATTGATCTACGAAGCGACTGTAATGGAAAATGGTAAACTGGAGGTTAGCGAACAGAATGATGGTGAATCTGGTGAACAAAATGGTGAAAATCAGGATGAAGGCTCAAAAACCGAGGTTGAATCTGGTGATGGTGAAGTGGAAGTGAGCAAACAGAATCATGATGAATCCGTTGAAAATGCAGAGTATCGGGATGAAGCCTCAAAAACATTTGGTGAAGATGAGGTAAGCGAGAACAATGATGGTGAATTTGGAGACGAAAGTGGTCAATATCGGGAAGAAGACTCCAAAAATTATGACCAATCCAGTAATGAAAACAAAGTGGAAAATAATGAGCATCAAGATAGCGAAGAAACACAAGGCGATCTCGAGGAGACACCTCAACCAAACCAAGAAGTACCTCTCTCAGACCTGCAACCTGGTGAGAGTTATGTCTTCGATCAGTACACCGGGAGAATCTATAGACATACCGTGTCAGCACATCAACACCCGATAAGCGACTACGAAACTCTTCTCGCTGAAATTCATAGAAAGGTGGAGAAAGTTTATTGCAGATTTCCACGAAATATGATCATTGAAAAGTTTATAGTAAAAGATGAGGTGGTCAAGACGAAGGATGATGGATCTATAAGTATAGGTGAGGATGATGAGGGACCCGTAGAGGACACTCTTGGAAACCTGGAACCCGTAGAATATGAAGAAGATGTGTCAAATATCGTACAGGAGTTGCTAAAGAACTCATGGAGAGACGGGCATAGGACACCTATATTGATGACGTACGATAGCGCGACCGGGACGATAACATCAATTTACGTTACACTGTCCAAAGTCCAACCGGATGACGTAATTTCCCATGACGTATTGAAGAATGGCAAGATAGAAACATTTGGAGAAAACATAAAAATTACATCATACCTTCTCCATGGAAACGAACTGTTACAAATTGTGCGTGAAGATGAAGTAAAACATGGCTTCACTAAGATTGCTGAAGAGAAAACGGGTGGTGAGGTTGATGGTAGTTCTGAGACGGGAGATGAGAATTCTAGAAATCATGAGAACGCGGATGAGAATTCCAGCAATTCCGAGAATGAAGATGAGAATTCTAGCAATTCCGAGAATGAAGATGAGAATTCTAGCAATTTTGAGAACGAGGATATGCTAGAAACAAATGTTGACGACAATTCCCATGAACACAGCTCACAAGCTACAACATCACTCGAAAACAGTCAACAAGAAAGCCAAAACGAGGAATGCTTACTGAGACTAGGTGAAAGCGACACGACCGAATACTGGGCGCATACTGCTCAACGAAGAGCAGCTTTCATTCGCGAGACAGTCGAACGTTTGATGCCAAGTCCAAAATACAAGGAGGAAGACTTTGCGATATTGAGCATTTCCACAAACGATATCGACGAATCTGTTTCGTATACCTACTGTGAAGATGGTAGCGTGCAGAAAACATGGCGACGGATTGAAAATGTTCCACGAAATAGGGCATCTGAGGAATCAGGAAAAAGTACTGAAAGTGACGTTGGAGGTAACAAGAGCGTTGTGGATGATAGTGAAGGTTTGCAAGAGGATTGGACGGATGATGATGATTATGAGTACGACGATGAAGAATATCGTGATGATATCGATGATGATCACGATTATGATCGCGAACATGATATCCATGATGATATCGATGATGATATCGGTGATAACGTTAATGAAGATGACCGTGACACTGATGATGAGGATCACGAAGAATATGACGATACAGATATCGAAAACCAGAATGAAAATGATTATGATGCAAGTGACTCTCATTATGATGCTCTCGATCATGAAGATATCAGTGATGATATCCGTGATAATAATAATATTGATGCTGTTGATGACAAATCTAATCCTGAACCAGAATCTGCAACCAATGAAGAATCAAAGAATTCAAACGCTCATGAAAATTCAAATGATCCAGAAAGCATATACGATAACCAAAAAGTAAAAGAGCTCGACAAAGAAAATTACGACATGTTCATATCGAGAGAATGGCAAAACTTAAAATTACGCCAACAACAATTTGAACACAGCAAAAAACAAAACATGCGATTACAGCAACAGATGCTGGAAGAATGGAACAAGATGAAACAACAGTATAGAGAATTCCAAAAAAATTTCCAGAAAAATCAGAAATCTGAACTGGATGACTCAGAAATTGAAGGAATATGGACTGACCTGAAGCACCAACAGAAACAGTTTGATAGCATGAAGAAACAAATCGAAGAGGAGTTAAAGAAAAGTTTGCAAAAGGAATGGGAGAAATTGAAGAACAAGCAAGCAGAAATTGAAATGAGAGAAAAGCAGTTATACGAAGATGAGGAGTCCAATGTACATTACCAGGAGATTGTTGGATATCAAAGGGTAACAGTGGATAAGAGAGGGGATATTAATGAACAACAGAGGACGGAGTGGGAATCAAATAATGATGATACCTTAATCTCGGAACTGCAGCCGGAAGCAACTCTAGAAAAGCAAAATGAATATCATTCTGAAATTGAAGCAACATATCAAGTCAGTTACGATGAGAGTGAAATAGGAGATGAAATGGAATTGATCCACGAAGATCTTACTCCCGAAATACAAGACTCAACTGATGAAATAGTGCAAGCTCCATGGCAGGTCGTTGAAGGCCATTATGTTGACAGAATACAAAGTGGTGCCTGGGAAACGAGTGATTCAGACGTGGCGTACACTCAGAACATGCACATGGAAGAGAATCTGCCACATGAGTTACCCTACATCCCTGAGACAGATGAACATCCTGATTATCATGTTGATACAACCCTAAGCGAAGCATGGGAATTAAGTCAAACGTCAAATACTGGTGAAGAGCAATACATGATAGATGAAAATCTTCCACGCGAAATACCCCATGTCCCTTCAACTGAGAGCAGTGAAATACCTGGAATGACCGACAGTATCTTTCGAATTCATGAAATGCAAGAAATGTATCAGAAAGAAACATTTCCTGAAGAAATACCCCATATCCCATCACCTGAGAGTGGTGCAGCACCGCTTGCGTACGATGGTATGTTCCAGATTCATGCAAGTCAACAAGAGGAAAATTTCCCTGGAGAAGTATCCCATAGCCATTTAACTGATAGCAGTGAAATGTCTGGAGTGAGTGAAGGTATCTTCAACATTGTTGCAACACAAAATATGCAACAGGAAGACGTCTTTCCCGAGGTAGTACCCTACACTTCCCCCACAGAAACAACCACCCAGAAAGACAACGTAATACCCAATGAAGACAATGAACACACCGTGGACACAAGTGACAGTGGACTACATTTTGAGACCGAAGACACCCATTCTTCTTCGCAGTGGGAACTGCAAATTCAAAAACTCCGAGAAGAGCTTGATAGGTTATACGAAGCAAAAAAGTCTGAAAGAAATGGGCTGCAAGTAATTAAGCATGAGACTGAATCACCAGTAACACCAATTGAGGACTTGAATACTAAATCGGAAAATGTGGCTCAACCAAAATGTCCACCCAAATGCCCTAACACTGCAAGCTATTCAGAGTGCTCACCCAAATGTCCTAAAAGAGATTCAACGAAGGATGTTATCTCGGTTAAACCACAGTCGTTTGGAAAAAGATCAGATGAGAAAACGAAACAGTCTTCGTTCGCTAAAAAATCTGATCCAGAACCATCGGAAATTGAAAAGAATGAAAAGGAAGGTAAAAGTCCTGCCTTTATGGACTACATTGAAGGACATTCTTACCTGCGACAGCTCGAGCCTCAAGAATATGATCGTAAAATGCCTGGACTGAACAACGGCCCATTGGCTCCCAGAAAGAGAGCTACGAAAATCAAAAAGACTAAAATCAAGTCCATAGACGAAAATGATGATAAAAACGAATCCATCGAGAAGACTCGAAAGAGAAGAAAACAAGAGAAATATTTGGAGAAGAATGCACAAGAAGCTGGATTGAATAAACCGTTCAAAAAAGGAAAGAAACAGAAAATCAAACACCATTATCCAAAGAAAAGCGCAAGAAAGGATCAGAAATTGATACGAAAACAGCAATAAAATCTCACATTTTTTCATGTTAGTATTATTACAATTTCAATCAAAAATATTTAAAAAAAAAACAAAAACGATAAAAAGTAGGATTTTTTCCATTTTGGTTATTTTTGGGAGTAATTTGACCGTTAATCGAACTGTAAATATACAGTAGGCGAATGCCATTGTAAACACATTGTAAAAATTTGAAAGGTAGAAACCCAATTTTAAGCTTATTTCAAACTAGAATTTAATTTACACAATCGCACAAGTTTTAGTCGCTCACTTTTCCTATTCCTGTACATACAAGTACATTAATTAAAAAACACTAAACGGCTGTTTTTAACGTTGAATTTGTTTCAGTTGTTTGTCAGCCCACTCATGTTATCTTTTGACAGTGAACGTACATTTACACACAACAATTAATCGGGCCGATTCAGCTTTGATTAAATGTTTGAAAAATACGCTGTCAACATCATCTGACGACATCGTCAACTGAAAGCATGCATTCGGCCATAGATTAAATATGTATATTCTTAATCTATGATTCGGCAAAACCTGAAATCGGCCAGATTTCATTTCAGAAGGTGAATTTAACTCCAATGGAATTATTTTTGACCAAATTTTACTCCACATTGGGAGTTAATAACATAATAACTCATTTGGAGTTAAATTAACTCATTGAAATTAACAATGTGCAAAGTATGCTTTTTGACTAAATCAGTAAGCCCTTTCTATTGACTTTAATATAAGTAAAAGCGGTGGGTGGTATGGAGAACACTGAAATTTACAAAACAATGAACAGACAAATGGAACATTCCAAACATTCGAATCAATGGCTGAATGGCACTATTGATATGCTAATTGTTCTGCAACGTAACCATTAAATATAGTCCGACAAGGCCAAATTTGCTTTGGCCTTTCTAAAACTTCCGTACAACAAATTTTATCAATGTTCCGGTTGCTTCTTATTTGGAGCCATCTTTAAGTGTCCCAAATTCGGGAGCCATCTTTAAGTGTCCCAAATTCGGACACTTTTCCTGGTTCTTACCCAAGTGTTTCTTGGCTTATTTTGTGCCGTAGTAAAACAACAAACCTGGTATTTATTGCATTTGCATATTGAGTTTCATTCGCCCTTGCGCGAACTCCTTTAAATATTTGAAATCGATTAATTTGATTTGTGTTCGATTAATTTGATTATAGAATAATTCCAGTGCCGGACACTTTGCGAAATAATGAGAGGGGGGAAGGGGGGTTAGGTTGCCACCATATGATCACCTTTGTTGCTTGAAATCGTAGTTCTTTAAACTTTCTTTTCCTTAAATTTCATGCAATATAATCTTGTCGTATATATATATATATATATATATATATATAGCTTAATTTATAGCCTACCATGCTTTTATGGACGTAAAATAACTGTCACAGCTTTGTTATGCAGCTATCCATCAAACGTTTTCGGAAAACATTGGGGGGGGGGGAGGATGCAACTAGTATCTATAATTACATAAGGTTATCGGGTTTTAACGCAGGTGTCATCATAATAAACGCAAATACATTGTGGTTTAAATACATTATATATTTATCATTAATAGACTTTATAATTATTTTATGCGTTACGAATAATTTATTATAATTCATGAGATGTTATCTTTTTGGAAAGAACCGGATAAATATAATCATCATAATGAACACGATACAAACACATGCTAACATGGTCCATACCCACAACGAGCACGGTCTGTTTGTAATTTCCTCAAGTCTTTCGCTTTCATGTTTGAGTTTTGTGAAATTTGAGTCGGCCAAGTCTGAAGCATTTTCCAAAACCTGGAGGAAGTACGCATAAAAGATGTTATGTTTTTATACAAATGTAAAGCTGGTCAGTACGACTTAAATCCTGAAGACTATCTACCGGGCAATCTGTCTCGTCATCATACTCGCCTTAGTTCTATACTGATTCCTACCGACCAAACCTCTGCAGAACATCTTCTTTCCGAAATCTATTTTTCAATAGGAATGTACCCCTATGGAACAGCCTACCCGACGAAAAAAAAAACCTCTCTCACTGCAGAGCAAAAAATTTTCTTTCACAATCTGGAAACAAAAACTTCCTGCAGACCAACGGAGTATTTTCGTGCTTACTCTGTATGTGCATAAACATATAGTGTTCTAGCTGACCATGGTTTTAAATTCAAGGAATAATGTCTTGTTGCGCCCTTGGTGGGACATGGGTGTTAAGCAACAATTTTAAAAGCAAGAACGACACTCAATACAAAATGTTTTCCAAGTTCTTGCAAGGCCTTGGTCTGTCAACATGAAAACATGCATTAAGTTTCTCAGTGTAACGTTTATTGAGTTTAGTTTTAAGTGACTGAACAGTGAGCTGGTGTGGAAAAAATAGGCGAGCACGCAGGAAATGTCTTAGTGAATTTTAATTATGCACATACTATATCTAACGATGTGTCTGTGATTTCGTTGGTTTCAATAGTGTTGTAATGTAGCATGTCAGCCAGGACTTAATATA